GCTGAGATGAAAAGATATACGCTCTATAAAAATTTGAAACCAGTCAGTTACATATTTGCCCTTTAATAAGTTGAAATCTTCGACCACAAATCGTAAATACCCCACCAATCTATAATATTTTAACGTAAAATATGTTGTTGTGCATAACACCACCACGGAATAGACCCCAATTCAGATATGATGACATTAGTAAGTGCGCAGTATTTCCACACTGCATCACCAACTCAGACAATTTTATGCAAACACAATGTGCGCTTTTAATGGGAGACAATTCATGGTGGGCAGATAGAAGCCGTGACAACACATTCTACTTATTTTCTAAACACTTATTTAAGACAATCATAAGTTCATTTGTCACAGCACTTATGTTACTAATTACGATCGCAGCCGCACATGTGGCAATCAATTGATTTGTGCAGATGGAAGCGTAAATCCACACAAAAGATTGGATAGCAGCAACCGCGAGGAAAAAAAGCAAATAAGATGGGAAAAAAAGTGATTTCGCTCACCACGAAGCACTACAACAAAAAGCTTTTCCCCTGATACGAATTTTGAAAAAACGTAAGAGATAAGAATAAGCATTGGCTAGTTTAGGATCTTCTATCTAATCGTAATCTATAAAATAAGCAATGCAACCCACGTCCTTTTGGACATTTACGTAGAACTGACGAATTCCTTCGAGTGTCAACTCCTCCTTTTTCACAAGAATTCTGATGGGATTTCTCATGAAACACTCCGTAACATCAAGTACGTCTGCCGGCATAGTTGCAGAGAGAAGAACAACCTAGAAAAATAAATTTGTTAGTTGCGTACAGCTCTTAAAACTTCTATGACTCGATAAAGCAAGTGAGATAGCTGAAGTGTGAATAGCATGCAAAAGGCTTACTTGAACATCTCGCGGCATAGTCTTGAAGACTTCATAAATCTGATCCTTGAAACCACGAGAAAGCATTTCGTCAGCTTCATCCAGAACAAACATTTTGATATATGAAGTAACTAGAAAATTTCATTTAGAGCGTCCAAAAATTCTGTGACATATGGTTTTCAGGGTAAACAAAATTGCATAAGATACAACATTTTCTAAAAAAATGGGAAGTGAAATATACTACTCGAATGACATCAACTTTGGTAATCAAAAACAGACAGACATTTGTCCCTATCAAATGAAATTGGGCATTTGCCACCAGATTGCTGACTCTAATCGTTTGCGCTGCAGTAGCGAATACGAAATATAAAGCTGTTTATGAAATTCTTCTAGCTGTAAGAATGTAGATACATAAAGTAGCAAACTAAAGCTTTACCCGCAGTAGTTAAGATTCAAAGCATCTAAAGAGGTAAATAATTAACGAGAGTTATACGGTTGCCTCTGCAAGCAAAGTAAGATAGTATGGATTGAAAATAAAACGTAAAGGTCTAATCATCAGATAACTCCAACAAACGCTTTTGACATCGATTATATTCTGGAGATTTGGTACCGCTTACCCAGAATATCTCGGCTAATCATGTCATTAACACGACCAGGAGTTCCGACCACAACATGTACACCAGCTTCCAACTTCCGTTGATCGTCGCGAATACTTGTGCCACCGATGCATGCGTGTACTTTGACTTTCATATAGTCTCCAAGTGCAATCATCACTTTTTGGATCTGTAACAAAATCCGTTTGAATTTTTCAAAAATTCAAGATCCTAGGCTTAGCTTGTTATAGATCACAAACTTGCTGAGCTAGCTCCCTAGTAGGAGCCATAACCAGTGCTTGTACATACGGCTTTGTTTCGTCGATCCGTTGAAGGATTGAAATCGAGAAAGTGGCCGTTTTTCCGGTACCGGACTGGGCTTGAGCAATCACATCACGCGCTAAATTCAAGACTCTTTAAGGTAAATACTACTTCAACCTTTAATAAATTATCATAATATCTGGAAAATTAAATTCAGACAGAAAAGCTTTCGTTTGCGAAAGTATGCACTAAAATTGCACTCTTCAGACATGCATCCGGCGATGCGTCAACTTTGAATTATTAGGCTCCACATTCGAGTTTTTAGGTATATTTGAAACAGAAGATAAAAACATGATAAAGACCCCACTCTAGATATTCGCTTAATAAGAGGGTACCAACACCAATCCCCTTTTCCCTCCCCCCTTCCTCAATCAAGCACTGATCCTAAGTAGAGTGCGTAAATAAGATAGAGCACAAGGTTTCCGTCAGATTGGCAAAAAAATATCCCACTTAATCCTACTGGAGAACCT